TGCAACTGTATATGAGCACATTAATTACAATTAAAACTATTCACCCTTTGGCTGCGGTTATCATTCCAAATCTGAGATAACATACATCATTCTCCTTTATTAATGATCAAGGTTTACCTTTGTGTCATCGGCATGCCCTTCTAATTTAGAAAGGTAATTTTTACCAGGCACATAAGGGGTGAACTTCGATGAGAAATAAGATAGGCAATTTTTGTACCTAATAAATAATCGTCATTTAATGCGATATTTATTGCTGCTTATTCTGAGCGCATTAATAGTTCCCTATATAGGGTGATTAAGAACTCTGGGGTCATACTGTGTGATAAAAAGATGGTCTGGGTAACTGAAGTTTTTTAGATGTGTTGCTTTGAAACAAAGTCCCCCAAAAATCTCTAATATGTTCTGAGGATGTTCAAATGATCTCCCAACAGGAGATTCGCTTCAACCAGGTCCCGATAGAAACTCTTCAAATTAACCATTTCCAGTAAGTTATGATTAGTTACTACCCAAAAGCGTGTCGGTAAAAAGGAGCAGCTTTTCCAAATTAAATCCAAATTCATTCCACACATTTTTTACGCGTTTCTAACAAGGACCTAATTTATTACCTCAGTGTCCCTTGAATAATTCGACACCTTCCATTTCCGGACGCGCATTTTCGCCGTTGTTTATAGACCGTGATGTCACGTGCCGATAAGGTGGGCATTGTCGTCTTTTTTATTAATTAAAAACAATATTTTGTGCCTTAATACCCGACCGCACCTCGACGCTAATTACTTTGACACTGGCTTCGAGGGCGCGTCCATTGGGGATTGGACGTTGATAGGAATCGACAAGTGAAGAGACATTCCCAATTTTTTTCCAATGCCTGCCTTTCCTATCCAAGAAAATTACTGTAGAATCTGCATTTGTTTAAGTTGGGGCATACAGCACACGTTCGAAAAGCTCTACGTTTTTAAGCGAACTTGTGTTTTAGCCTATTTTTTATTTCATTAAATATTTTGCATTAATTAATGTTAACATGCATAATTTTCATCGTCATTCACAAATCAATTTGAGCTCATTGCTTTAAATGCAGGGTGATCCGAAATTGCGGTCAAAAATAGGCCAAAAGTGTATGCAAGCATAAGTGGAAAATCGTTTCTGAGATGCAGGGTTTTGAAAGTTTAATTTTGTGTGATTGGTTGTTTAGTTGATTTTTTCTACAGCTCTTGAGCTTGTGCGACATTTAGTGTATATTTGAAATTATGGCTAACTTCTGTGGGCGGAGTTATGTGAAATTATTGCCCCAATCTACAAAGCGTAATTTTTGGAAATTGTTTCCACTGAAAGCGACTTTATCTGTTTCAAATTTTAGAGCTATTTTACCCTTAAAACTTAAGGTAAAATGATGCTCTCAACATGCGAGTTTTTTACCAACAGAACATTTCCAGGTTCTCAATTCGGGCCTTAAGCAAGTAGGTATATCAAAGACAGTGGCTCAGATTCAAAAGTGATATTATGAAACTCTTATTCATTTTGCTCAGGGAATCTACAGTTAATCGATTGGCCTACTTTTTAAAGCACCCTGTATAGAGAAAAAAAACGTAAATACCGAAAGTTTGTGTAATATTAAAACTTGTTGTGGTTTGTTTGGTAAAAGAAGATTAGTGATTTGAAGAAACATTATTTGGTTACTATTTTGAAATATTTCACTTGCAACAGATGGCAT